CAAGGCATTTCGTCCAAATAATGTATGTCTTTGAAACATTTAGACCCATGCTGATTAAAAGCCAGAAAGCTTAGAGGAGCCATCTTCAACTCAAATATTTACATGAGATTCCCCACATCAAACATGTATGCTTCATTAATTACATATACCGTTGCTTGTCTGAAACAAATATATGGATCACGAGATTCGTATGCAAGAAGAAGGAAAGAGAAACACATATGATCAAAACGTTATCTTTCTGATTGAATAACTATACATTGTTTTATATCAACCGAATGTTACGGAATGTAAGCAATATCAATATTTTCTTGTCATTTTGTTGTGAGATATGTTAATGGTACATGTAGGCATTCCTCGAGATACATCCATCCCAGGAACTGTCCATTTTCTCTGCGTCATCATCAGTTGTCCGTTTTGTGAGTGTATATTTGAAACAGGAGGTTTTAATGAAACCAGTTGCCTGTTCAACACTCGGATTAATTTTAAATACAAAGTTTCACTGATATGTGATGTGTAAACTTAATCATTATATTTAAGTTGGTTGGTTGATTTGTTGTTTAACACCGCACTCAACAATATTCCAGCTATATGACGGCGGTCTGTAAATAATCGAGTCTGGACCAGACAATCCAGTGATTAATATCATGTGCATCGATCCACGCAATTGGGATCGATGACATGCATCAACCAAGTCAGCGAGCCTGACCACCCGATCCCGTTAGTTGCCTTTTACGGCAAGCATAGGTTGTTGAAGACCTATTCTAACCCAGATCTTCATGGGTCTATATTAAAGTTACCATTCACACTGGAATTATAGAGAGTTCACATGGAGAATCAATACAGTAAGTTTATCTGTATATGAGGCGACCATCAGTACAGTACACGTAGCGTCGTGCAAGGTCATTAGAATGGAATGCTTTTGACTTTGAAAATTGAAAGTGTAACTTCCTCATTTTCTCATCTTATTTGACCCTATGGGTATGACGTTAAACCTGGGAAAATCCGCTCTACTCTCCCTCTAGTTTCCTGGTTGAAGCCTTATTCATTCGGTAATCAATGTCAAGCGTACATACGTTAAACTTTCAGCTTCCTTATTCATTTTAGTATGAATGATATGAACATTTTGTTCAGGGGCATTTAGCCTGGGCGAAATATTTCCGGTGAAACAGTGACGCCAGACACCAACTGGGGTAAAACGAGAGCAATGAAACAAACACCACATATTTTCATATATTCATACATTTACACTTATCAAAGGGGTACACAATCTGGACTACCAGTTGTTGGACTTCCATTGTTTTGTGAAGGCCTCGATGGCTGAGTGGGTTAGATCGCAGAGTTTGTGTGCTGGCGATTAAACCAACCAAGAAACTACCAAGAAAGTGTTATCCAAAATATAACATTTGTTACCAGATAATTGTTCTTGATTTTTGAGGCATTTGCCAATACTATTAGGTATTAACGTGTTAACGTTCTTTCAGAGAACTTGACAAGAGTAATTAACATTAAGCTGATTCCACTGTTCACTAAATACGATTAGTGTCAAAACATAAATTCAATGGGGAAAGAAAAAGAAAAGAAAAAAGTGTTCCTAGTTGAAGACCATCAAGATGGATAAGGGGAGACGACCCTGCCACGGCTAATTAACCCGAAGCAACATCTAACTACCTCAAGTGCCTCTGTGAGTGAAATATTGATGGCTGATTTTAACATCTTCAGTTTGAAATCATCAATGGGGATGAGGTGCTAAAAAATACTTGTTTGGTTTAGTCATCTCTTGATTACTACATTCTTGTACTCATTTTCATAACCGCTTTTTGAACAACCTCTATGTTTTCTTGCCTGAAATTGACATTGAAGTAGATGTTGTCTGTCGGTCCTTCAGGGTGGTCTGTTTCAAAGCGTGGCATGTCGATGTACAGAGGTCATGCTGTGCAACTACAAAATGGGGATTTTCCTCTGACGTTTATGACGGTGAACTTCCCCAGTTGGAGTAAATGAGTGAGTGAGTGAGTTTGGTTTTACGCCGCTTTTAGCAAAATTACAGCAATATCACGGCGGGGGACACCAGACGTGGGCTTCACACATTGTAGCCATGTCGGGAATTGAACCCTGGTCTTCGGCGTGACGAGCAAACGCTTTAACCTCTAGGCTACCCGACCGCCCCTTGGAGTAAATGATCATCCTTCATAAAGTTAGTGTGTGCCACTGCTGAAAGTTCAACCATTACTGTTAACTGTTCGAGTATCTACTGGTTGTAGGTTTGAATCCCAGATTTGCTTTCATTAAGATCCTTGGTTTCTCGGGTACAACACCGTGCTCGTGGGTTTCCTGAAAGTAGGAAACACCTACAGCCAGCATAACTTGGGGCCTCCCTCACACAATAAGTTAATAATGTTCCGACTTGTTCTGAATTATATATTTTAAAGTGGAGTATCACGTTTTGAAAAAAATATACTTTTTGTGCAGTTGACAGCATCTCTCTCACGCGAGTACTGCTACTGTAATTGTCCCAGAGTGCTGCCTTTGCTCAGGTTTCTGTGTACTGGTGAATCACAACATGATAAACACAATGCAGACACATTTACACAAAATCACAAAGTACAGCACTATAATCAAAATATGTGATAATAGCTGTCACCTTACTACAACAATAGGGGCACCAGTCGTCTAAGGCGCCGTGATTCGCTGTGCAGAGTTGCGTCCCTTAGGCACGCCAGAAACCGATGATTGTGGGTTTTGAATGCCCGATTATGTTTCTAGGTTTGTCAGCACCATACCCGTGCTCGTGGGTTTCACCGAAGTGGTAAACGTCTGAGACCTGCATCACTTCAGGCTTTCCTCCCACATAAAGCTGACACGCCGTGATATAACTGGAATACTGTTAAAAGCGGCGTTAAACCCAACTCACTCACTCAACAACGATGTTTAATATTTGGTAAGACATAAAGGAGAGACGCACAATATGGCAATCTCTCTCTCTCTCTCTTTGTATATAAACTGACATCCAAAAGAAACTTTACCAGAGTTTGAAATCACTCTTGCTCAAAAACAACAAAATATACATGCATGAAGTAAAGTGTATTGAGAAGATCAATATATAAACATAATCAACACTGAAAATGACAATCCTACCGACCCCCCAAAGTTTGGTGTGGTACAAAACTCGAGCTTTCAGAATCATGCACAATAGGCAGAGTACATAAACAATCGCTCACGTTCAATAACAAGTCATTTGTAGCGTGTGTGACCACAAAATGCCTCAATACACGCAAAAACTCTTCGACGCACAGAAAAAGTCAGTCGTCTGATGAGGTGACGTGGGATTTGACGCCATTCTTCTTCCAAGGTCAGTTCTTGCCGGTTGGCTGGAGAGTGTGATCGTTGTCAAACACGACGATCCATCAAGTCCCAGGGGTGTTCTATGGGGGACATGTCGGGTGAGCGTGGTAGGAGAAATGGTAGGACAACTGGTCTAAGAATGTTATCCATGTAACGTTGAGCTGTCAAGTTTCCGTCAACGATAACCAGTGGTGTCCTCTCCTGCCAATAGATCTCTCCACCATATGGTACGACCTCCTGCACGCAACACGCCGCCGTTCGCCGTGGGTGACTCCCATCTGTACCATAACCAAGGCTCGTTCACGTTGTTCGACTGTGAGTCGTGGCATTTCTTTTGTGTTTTTTTGTTACTGTGGACGTCTGACTTGCCGTTGCAATCGTTTTATACCCTTACCTGCACGTGCATTTGCAGTTGTCCGTGGTGCTCGTGTTTTTCACTTTTTCGCGTGTTATCTCGCAAACATGTAACAGACGATTAACATTTTCTGCATACACTATTGTTGTATTTAGGTTATGTGTTTTAGATAGACTTCATCGAAAAAAACATTATACTTTGTCTGAAATTTATATTTTCAGTTGGTAAAGTTTCTTTTGGACGTCAGTTTATATAGATATTAACATAAACATTGCTTCGTAGTTGTATTGTCTGATTTGATAGTAATGTGTTTAATCATCGAGATGCAACCAGTTATAGTTAATCCCCATTATTAATTGTACGAAGAAGCATAGAAAACATTGTTCTTATTCATCGCATAGGACTAAACCACGCAAACTGTCAGTTATAGAGCAACACGTCATGTATCTATGGACATATAATTGCCTTTGCAAATGCAAGCAGAAATTCCTATTCATATGCATAAAGAAATAGATGAACAAGAAGGAGAGCACAGGTGATGCCCATGGGGATGCCAATTTTTTGCCTCAATGTCTTATTCCCAAACATTACATATGTGTTGCGTTACACAACAAACAAACAAGACATATATGTTATCAATGAGGAAGTCCAGCATTTCACACATTGTTTTCCCCTGTAAAGTTCAGCTGGCATTTGCTTTCATTTTTGACAAATGAACCTGATCCGCTGAAGTAAGATATGTAACAATATGAATGGTCACCACGTTTTGTAACAAAAGCCTCATGGGTCAATGAATGAAGTTTTTCGTCAAGTTTCTCATGTGTGACAGTGGTGAAGAGAGTTAAAAAAACAAATTTTTGACGGAATCAATTCTGAAGCAAATTCTTTGCGTTTTTGAGAATCCCTATGGGTATTAATTCCTGTAGAGGAAGGTGAAGGGTGGACAGACGTGTGGATGTGGAACTGTTCCCTCACATAAGGTGGCATCTGTTACACTGGACGTCTGTAGCGGCAACTGAAGGGTTGAGACACGTGTGGATGTGGAACTGTTCCCTCACATTAGGCTGCATCTGTTACAGTGGACATCTGTAGAGGAAGCTGAAGGGTTGAGACACGTGTAGATGAGAAACTGTTCCCTCACACCAGGCTGCATCTGTTACAGTGGACGTCTGTAGAGGAAGCTGAAGGGTTGAGACACGTGTAGATGAGAAACTGTTCCCTCACATTAGTGTGTACCTGGTACAGTGGACGTCTGTAGAGGAAGCTGAAGGGTTGAGACACGTGTATATGTGGAACTGTTCCCTCACATTAGGCTGCACCTGGTACGTTGGTCCTCTGTGGAGGAAGCTGAAGGGTGGAGGCGCGTGTAGATGTGGAACTGTTCCCTCAGTAGTCGCTCATAATCATGCAAGGATAAGGCATCCTCGTCATTGATGGCAGCACAAGGTGCATCACTGATGTCACAGGATAGTCTCTCGCCCACCACAGTGAGATATTCACCAAATCTATAATTACAAGGTAAAACGTACACACAAATTGTACCTTACATATGAAATTGACAGTGGAGGATACATGTATGTTGTTTAAATGCGGCTGGTAATACAACCTATTATATGAAGGGAAACCTTTTTGTTCATCTCCGACTAAAACAAACACAACTTTAACCACATTTTCCCATCGTTCTGTAAAAAGCATACATTCAGTGAGTAATTACCATCACAAGATACAAATGGAAATACAGCCATTGTTTTATTTAACTATTGTATTATCATTGTCTCAGGTACCTCAAATTATGTTGCATCACATTAAATAGAAACAGGAGAAATATCGGTGGTTTTTTTCCAACGATATGAAGTTACCCCGAGACCTAATTATAACATACAAATCAAGTATTTCACCTGCAACAATACAAAATGTATGTACCTTCTGCTGTGACCATCTGAAAGTAAAGAAACGTTGTACGTGTCAAATTCTTTAACGAATTAAACGTCGCGCAAAACATATCATTTCACCAAAAAAGACAATACTGACAAAACAAGACTTCAGCATTTCTAGATACTTGACAAAAGATGAACCTAAGGTTGATTGAATTGTAAGAGAGTAATTTGTTTCATTACCTTTTACGTCCTTGCAGACAAGAATAGCAACTGCTGCCACCACAACCGCCACAGCTGTGAGCATAACAGAGTAGACAGCTACAAGAGGGGCGATGTCGTCTACGTTCACCGCTTCTGGTGTAAGACAAAAGTTACACACATGTATAGTCAATATGATACTTCAAAGGAAAATGTCTACCGTGCAGTGACAAAACTCAAACATTACGGATTAATGTCGTATGAAATGATAATGCGTATGACCAATACAACTATCCGTTTCTCGAACATGGCGTATTACATAACCCAGGTAATGATTCACGATGGCTAATATCTTTAAAGGTGTCATCAACAGATCATATTATGGCTTAAATAACACGATATGACTTCGGGATGTCTGCTAATATATGAAGACTATTGAACATATTTTATGATAGTTATTGTATAATTGTTACTGTTTACCTATATTTACCTAAAATGGGGAACAGTTACATCTATAAAACCCTTTCACAAATAGACAAGAACGTTCGCATACGTGTATTCTAACGGGAAAAGTAACTGTGCTTCATGTGAAGTGATGTAAATGTTACGTAATTAAAAACTGAATATGGTTTTGACATTCGTCTGACCAATTTGTTATCATAACAAATTCATTCACAAAACCCAAATTTGGGAAAAGGAGACAGAGAAACACGCCCTAAAAGAGGGGTGCTGTAAACACACAATTAACAACGGGGTGTGACCACCATTTACGTTGATGCATGCGAGGCAGCGACGACGCCTTGAAGACGCCAGATGATTGAATACAGCCTGGCGATGTTGTTCCAGTTTGAAATGTCAAGCAAATATTGTGCTTACTGAACCTGCTGCGCACTAATTGGTCTCAACCAAAGAATTGTCCGAGCTGTTTAAGTGGCAGTTTGGTATCGATTCCTTCGATACACAAACCAAATTGCTTTTTTTGTTGACGCGAAGTCACACGTGGCATTAGTGTTGCGCTGCTGCAGACAACGTCTCAATAGAAACAATATTGTGCTTCAGTGAACATTAAAGTGTCTTCCAACTTTTTTTGAGCACCTGAGCGCTAAACTCTCATTGTGAACTGTTTACACTAAAAGACACCTGTGTGAGTATCATGCTCCCAACAAATATCCCAATTGTGCGCCGTGTATGAAAATTCATGTGCAATTGTGAATCACGACATTAAAGTCGATGAGATGTTTTCAGGATATGTATTGAAAGATGCATTATCTAAATTCAGAATAATTAATTTTTAGTGAACTTTATATGAAGCAAAGGTATTTTGTACCCGTTAATGTGTTTCTCTCATTATTTAATGTCCAGTGACATTCCATAAATGCCGTTAAGCAAATGGTAATTATTTTCCTCTCGTCTTATACAGTATGCCATCCTTGACGATTTGACTCCTGGTCCTAGCCTTTCGGCTTTAGACGGGAGATAGGTTGACTTACAATACGTCGTTGGATCAGGTCATTACACAATCAAACCGGCAGAAAACCGAAAGACACCAACCTTCTATCTCCTGGTAGCTCCCATCATTGTCCTCATCCTGGGCATATGAGACCACGCTGGGGACAATGAATATTAAAAAGAGATTGATATGAGAGACAAGTTAGCCTAAATATAAGCTGTGATACATTTTCAAGTTACATTGTGTTAAACAGCTTGTATATAGTTTCGCCGTTATAGCCACGCAAGGCCATATCATTGCGTAGAGAGTAACTTTTTATTCATTTCACTTGAAGATCGATTGCAGATACTCACCGATTTTGAAAGGATCCCCCCTCTGAAAGATACAACGTTGGGCAGGTAATTATGTATACAAAATACAAGATGAATAACAGATGACTCCTTGTCATTGCATACCTTTAACCTAATGGTAAATAGGTTGAAGTATGCTGTGATATGTGACTCGTTTCCTCTTTCGCGATTAAGAAGTTCAAATAAAGCTGCACTGAGGTAAAAGAGCCAGTGTGACTCGTGATTTTAAAAGGTGAATCAGTGCTAAACGTTTCTCAGAAGTCAGAAACAAATTAATGTTATATTAGTGATAAGTTATGACTTAACAGAATGTCCATTTAAAGTTATCCAGCTCAAAGAATTCGAACTTTTTTCAAGAAAAGGTTGCTTACATTTTCATTCGCGATTACCCTGTAAAATTTAAGAAACGTCATCCTATATAATTGACATGGCGTTGCAATGTCTAATTATTATTTACGACACCGACCTTCTATTTCCTGGTTGCTTCCGTCTGTTTCCTCGTCCCGGGTATATGTGACCACGCTAAGGGAGAGGAACGTTTAAAATGTTTGAAGCAGAATGAACTAATCAAGGCAACTTAACTGTATAGATACAGTGTTATTCAAATCACTGTTTTTTACATGAACTTTTTACCCTTTTGACTTGATGAATAGCAGATACTCACCGGTTATGAAGGTATCCCCTCTCTGAAAGTTATAATTGTGTGTAGATAATTAGGGATACATATTTCAAGATAAATTACAGATAAACTAAATAATCGTATCATTGCATACATTTGATATAAAAATAAATGATTTGAACTTCGGACAACACTATCTGCCTGTTTATCCTAGTTGTAGAAAAAGTGTCAAAGAAGTAGTACTAATATCATTAAGCCAGTGTAAATATATACTGGCAGAAGGCCCAGCTGTGCTATACATTTGTTCGAAGTAACAACATGACATTGCATTGCATATTTAACTGAGGTTTTCTTTCATACCTACAAAGAATTCCTGGTAACTTGGATATAACTCAACGTCCCCTGCCGATCGTTAGATGTTCTCAGCAAAGTCATACAGAACACAAATGTTCAGAAATATGGAACTGACAAAAGTGCAAGACCTAACATCGTCTAAATTAATACAATCAATTCAAATCGCTTTGCATCATAATGACAAAAGTCAGACTATCTCGATTACTCTTTCGTTAGGCCATTTGGGTATTATGACATTGACTAAATGTATACATGCAATATTTATTTATATTCCATTTGTCGTGCTGTTTATGAACAGTTCATGCAGTCATGACAGTCATGTAAGAGAAATGATGAGATGCTATATTGGGTGACATATCATCCCAGTTGCCTTTTAATTATTCGCATAACCTGATCTAACTTTTCAAGTGAGCTTTTTATTCCATTCTTAACATCTTCTCAGACATACAGTAAACTACGTTTATAACGAACACGCTTATAACGAACTGGCGGATATAACGAACTATTGTTTTGGTCCTGTCCTTTTGCTGTGTATATTCCGTACATTTGCTTACAACGAACTACGGTTATAACGAATTAAAATAAGTGGTCCCTTTGAGTTCGTTATAACCGTATTTTACTGTACTGTATTTATTAGAGTGAAAGGTTATGCATGTAACCTCATTAGTAATACGGTCCCTTAAACGCCGGTCTCAGATTCCCCTTCCTCAAACGGACTCGGTTTTGATCCATGATGATTACTGATAATGGCCATCAAGGACAGGGACACATTGCCGTCTCTTAGTTTATTCAAAGTCATTTACAAGGAAGAAACCTAAACAACCAGTAATATTAATAATAAAGATGATCATTACTACCCCCTCTCCCGACCCACACACACGACCCTCACGAAGACCGTCATTTTCATGTTGTTTTATTGGTATGACACGGAGGTTAACAACAACCTCAAAAAAGCTGTTCATCCAAATAAATACATAAGACCACAATGTCGTCGTTGTTGCGCATATTTCGTATTTATAATAATATCTTTTTCATTTGACTGCCTTTACTTTAATATTGAGATTCGGATGAACCATTTCCGCGTGACGACACACACCCTTAGCTGTACACACCACATAACGTGATTGACTTCAGGAAGAATTTTAAACCCAGAATATCTTGTAAAAAATTTGCGGTCAGAAAAGATAATTGTTTCGTTGACATAATTCGATCAGAAAAATACACGACTCATTCGTAGTCAAGGTAACTGAAGGGCGGTTTCTGATATCTTGACCTGTAGTCACTTATGCCGGCCTACACTGCCTGGTGCATGTGCAAACAACCAATTTCTTCACATGCTGTAAATCTTGAAATTAACGCGAGTGTGAATCAAATGCGAGTGGTGTTTGCTCGTATTAATTAACTTCGCATTGATGTCTCCAAATGCGCATCCAACAAAAAGACACTGCACACTTTGAATAGCGGAAATACCAACTTGAATATAAACACAAACATGGTTTATTGATCAGCAGTTGTAACAAGTATATAACAATGTCATTCAAAGAATAGGAATTACACAATAGGCATCCGGTTAATTATCACTGCTGTGGTCAAAAGTTCTACCTGCTCGTGTCAAGCTTGAGTCGCATTGATATTGAGTCGCATTTTTAGCTAGGGGCCGGCAGTCGCATTTATTTGGAGACGCATTAATTTCCAGATTTATAGTATTCATTTTGAAAATAAACCTAGAGTAATTGATATAGAGCTTACAAACGTAGAGTTGATACTTGTAATACGTATTCGGAACCGAACGCGTTAACTCTTTACACTCTCTAAATATTTGTTCTTAACGTTTTCTGCTTGTAATATTCCGCCACACTTGCTGGCAATAATGTGGAAACCGCGACACGTTTTTCAGCAAAGTTAATGAGGTAAGATCAATATTTGATATTGCCAAACGGGCGGGTTTCCGAAAGAAGTGCTTCTAAATATGTCGTTCGTGGTAATGTGGTCATCTGCAAAATTATGGCCTAAAGTAGATTCGATACCGTCGGCGGACCAATCAGAATGCAGGATTCTAAAATATTATGATAGAATAGTTAATGTGACTCTCACGTTGTACACAATCCCTCTCACACCACACAGTATAACCTTCACCTGTGTGTTTTCTACGAACAACAAATATGACGACCACGGCGATGACGACGATCAGCACAGAACAGATAGCAGCCATGTAGACGATGGAAGCGACGCCAGCTTCAGTAACCTCACGTGCTGGAACATTAAATAAATTAACAAAAGCATTGTTTATGATTCTAATGTTTCCGATATATAACATATGGAATAAACAGTCACTTAAATGTGTGTGTGTGTCTGTGTCTTTGTGTGTATGTTTGTGTGTGCGCGCGTGAATTAACATGGAATCAATCATGATATGTTTTTCCAAATAAATGCTTTCATGCTACTGATTCTGTTACTACAGTCTATCAGAAGCAAAGTTGTGAAATTCTTACAGAAAACGTCCAGCGTCAGGCCCCGTGATGTATTCCCATCTGTATTGTTGACTTGACACGTGTACTGTCCAGACACAGATCTGTCTACAGCTGGTATATACAACACAGCCTCCCTCTGTCCCATGATCACCCTCTCTCTGGATGTGTCCCACCAGGTCACAGTGCAGGCGGGGTTACAGTCAGCAGAACATCTCACTGTGAGAGGGTCACCTTCTGCTGCAGACACGTTGTCTCTGTTACCATTAAATTGTACTGTGTCCGGTCCATCTGAATAACATAAATAATTTGATTTTTTGCCTATCATAGGTGATACCTGTGATCATGAACTTTACCATGGCTGTACATCCCTTTCTATATTCATTAGCGATCTCTGCCAAAAGCAGAGTCAATTGTACGATTCCGACTATATCATGAACATGTTTATCAAATAGTAATGATACCAGACTCAATCACTAACACGTGTTTTGACAAAACAGCTTCTCTACTCACACAGAACAGTCAGAGTGTATCCCTGACTCCAGTCTGACAGGACGCCCTCTTCTTCAGACTGACACCTGTAGACACCCTTGTCCCCCTTGGTGACGTTATCTATAGTCAGGACTGGTCCCTCCATTTGTACTCCGCTCTCCACCCTCCTGTTGTTTCTCCTCCAGGTGAAGGACGTGTTCAGGGTATACGGGTACAGAGACCGGTCTAGAGGAAGACTCCGGGAGGTGGAGGAGCAGGTCAGCGTCACAGGACCACCTGATACAAGGTCGGCCGATGTCGTGCTGATGTTCGGTTGTGATGGTTTCTCTGAGAGCAACGTGACAAAAGAACTGTCTGATATCTGTCGGCATTACTGTATGGCATAAAATTGAACTTCTAGCTAAATAATGTACATACACACTTGTTAGAATGTTTGTTGGATTCGAATATTTATTCAAATCAGTGAATGTGTCTAAGAACTTCCATGTGATCTTTGACCTGTTTTCTATTCATTCCCGCGAAAGCCAACATATATTTAATTGATGAATAGGGAATTTACAAAGCATTGTCAAACTACTGTTTTGTTGACAGAGCATCTGCCTCGATATTCGTTCGCATGCCGCGTGATAACAAAAGACGTTAAAATATGGTATTTGATGTTACCCTGCCTGAAGCTCGGCATTAAGGGTATAAGACAACGACTGGTCGGCTCTGAGTGAGTACTAGTATATATATCTGAGTGAGAATACTGTATCTGAGTGGAATATTCATGTGACTCAGTGACATGGTATATCCACCGACTTGCACTATTACACCAGATTCAGTCCTGGTTTATGAAAGCACGCACGCACGCACGTACGCACGGACGCACGCACGCACGCACGCACATCTCAAATAGATATAACTGATCCATCCTCCATTATCCAGTGTATTATATCTCTATGCTATCACCAGAAATGGGGCACGGGTGGCCCAGTCGTCTAAGGCGCTACAGAAATCTATGGTTGTGGGTTCGAATCCCGGTTCGCCCCGATTATGTTTCTAGGTTTGTCAGCACCATACCCGTGCTCGTGGGTTTCACCGAAATGGTAAAGGTCTGAGACCTGCATCACTACGGGCTTTCCTCCCACATTAAGCTGACACGCCGTGATATAACTGGAGTACTGTTAAAAGCGGCGTTAAACCCAACTCACTCACCCACTCACTCACTGAATCGTAGTAGTTGCCCCTCAAATGTGTACTAAGTACAAATACCCAATCACCAATTGTTGGTGCTAATACCCTCGCTGTCTTAATCTCCACAACGACTTCTTGCAAAAGAACATTGCCTTCAACAAAACTAAACTGATAGAATATATCTCTTCAGTTGATATATGTCTCCTCAGATCATTTCCATGTCTCGTACACTATTCCTTTTATCGTGTCTCAAAACCGAGCGTGTCTATC